CACAGTTATAGATACTAGGCTTCAAGGCATAAAACCACTTTTTTTTGTGGTTTTGTGCAACTAAGACCAAGAGAAGCTCTACACCATATGGCACCGAATCATCGGGGTCTTTCATTTACATGTCTTCGTTTTAATCCTGTGGTCAAATTTCATCTTTCCTTCCCATGGCAACCCTTCAAGAATCCTAAGACCCCATTCCACCTCATGTCTTCCCTCCCTGGTAAAGACCCCCCGAGTCCTTCAACCATCCCACAGAAGTCACAGTTTTGTGTCACCACTATGAAGCAGTGAAAACCCCACCACAGCTCTCTGGCAGCCATAAAGGAAATCAGGGCAATGCTCTGGCTCCCTGATTTGGACTGCTACACAGAGTGTCCCCAACAGTCTGTTCTCATCTGACCTCTGTGACCATCTAACACCACATGCAGGACTCACAGCTGGCTTGACTCCCCAATTGGACTCTGGGTGGGAGCTAATGCACATGAGGTCCCTGCTCCACTCCAAGTGCCAGACAGATTTGAAAGCTCTTGCACATTTCTATGACTTCCATTAGCTTGGCACGACCCTCAGCAGCATCCTTTCCCTGTGGCCAGCTCCTTTTCACCCAGTAAGTCAACAAAGCCCAAACCTTCCTATCACAAGAACATCTAGCTGAGACCCGCCCTGCTGGCTGCCTATCTCCCAGAGTTCCATCATTCTGTAAAGGGAAATGAGGGGAGGTGGCCTGCCCTGTTCTGGGTGCCCTGGGCTGGCTTCTGCTTTACCAAACCTTTGTGATCCACTCTAGAATCTTGCCAAAAGCTGAGATAAATTCATGGGTCTTCCAAACATAGACTATGTCCTTACCCTTTGTAAACTGTCTTTAAGTTTTTATTCTCTCTTATCTATTCTGAAAACAAGCTTCCTGGATACTTGAATCACAAAATCTGCTCAATCAGCTAATTTTGGTTTCAGAAGATGAGTTCTTTGTATTGTTTTCAACAATTTCGTTTGTGGGACTTTTCATAGTATAGCTCATTGGCAGTGACTATACCAACTTTAAGGAATTCAACTATATTCCATCAAAAATAAACATTAGTAGATTTTTTTTGTTGTGTTTTGTTTTTTTAAAGATGACTGGTGGGCCGGCCCGGTGGCGCACTGGAGAGTGCGCCACTTGGGAGCGCGGCGGCGTTCCCGCTGAGGGTTCGGATCCCATGTGGAGACTGGTTCCCGCTCACTGGCTGAGCGTGGTGCGGGAGCAACACCGAGGGTTGCGATCCTGTTGCTGGTCCCCGGTATGGGCGCGACACCAAGGGTTGCGATCCCGTTACTGGTCAGTAAAAAAAAGACAAAAAGGAAAAAAAAAAAAAAAGATGAATGGTAAGGGGATCTCAACCCTTGACTTGGTGCTGTCAGCACCATACTCAGCCAGTGAGCCAACCGGCCATCCCTATATAGGATCCGAACCCGTGGTCTTGGTGTTATCAGCACCACACTCTCCTGAGTAAGCCATGGGCCGGCCCAATATAAGTATTTTTAGAACTGTTTTTCCGGGCCGAGCCCATGGCGCACTCGGGAGCTGCGGCGCTGGGAGTGCAGCAGCGCTCCCGCCGCAGGTTTGGATCCTATATAGGGATGACCGGTGCACTCACAGCGCTCAGTGGCTGAGCGCAGTGCGGCCAGTCTCAAAAAGGACAAAAAGAAAAAAAAAAAAAGAACTGTTTTTTCCAATCTTCCATGACTAAACTAACTCCTGAATTATATCTCAATTTCAAATCATAATCTCCATTAACTGAATTCAACAAGGAATTTTCCCTCCTCCGAACTTACATAGCCATATGTACCTCTCACAGCATTATTCACTTTCCCCCCAAGAATGGGAAAAATATAGCATTCACACCAAATATATACAATACACACACACAAAACCCCAAACAGCAGACACTCCGAGGATGGTGGCTGGCAGGTGGCTGCTGCACAGTTGTGGTATGTTCTCTGTGCATCCACACTGCTCACAAAGGCCTTTATTTCTGTACATCTACACATACTTCCATATGTACAGCAGTTATAAAACTCAAGTCATACCATCTATATTCTTTCACTGCTCTGCTCAAATTGCCACACACTGTCTTCCACTATGCAATCTAGAAGTTGAACTCCCTGCTGCCCCTCTTCTGCCCTAAGTGCCTTCTGGGTGGAGCCACACTCGCTGGTTAAGAGACCATGGATTCCTGGGCCGGCCCGGTGGCGCACTGCTACAGTGCGCTGCTTGGAAGCGTGGCGGCGCTCCCACCGAGGGTTCGGATCCCACGTACAGACCGGCCGCTCACTGGCTGAGCAAAGTGCGGGCGCGACACCGAGGGTTGAGATCCCGTTGCCGGTCCCGGTCTGGTACAGGCGCGACACTGAGGGTTGCGATCCGTTGCCGGTCACGAAAAAAGACAAAAAAAAGGAAAAAAAAAAAAAAGAGAGAGACCATGGATTCCATGAGGGCAGCACCACCGACACTTCTGTCCACAAAGCCTTCTTCCTGGCTTCTGACAGGAGCTCAACGGCTCCTGTCAACATGGGGGCATGCTCATTCTCCTAAAAACCCTAATGTACCCTGAGGTTGATGGCCAAATTATTTTTTGTGTGTAGCTCTTTGTCAGAAAACTGGGCTTCCCTCATTTGGCCTCAAGCATTCCAGCTACAGGAAGGCACAAGGGGAAGCAACAGAAGCAGCAGCAGGAAGCAGAGAAGAGCAGAGACATAGGCCGGTGCTGAGCCTGGCCAGAGGAGCAATGTGAGGAAGGAAGGAAGAGGAAGGGCGAGGATTTGAGATGCGATGGGCTGTAGGAAAGAGGAGGTGCACAGAAAGGAAGATGAAAGTTACAAATGTAGCTACAGAAAGGTGAATAAAGCAGGAAACTAAAGCCCTGACTGCGCTCCTGGAGGCAGGAACGGAGTTGAGGGAAAGCTTCCTTCTTGATAGAAAAATTAACCTTGAACACTGAAGCAGCTTTTATACTGTGTCAGGTACTGTGCCAAGTACTTTTAATCAAGAACATCACACCAACCATCAGAGGCCAACAGAAAAGAAAGGGAAAATGAAAAAAACAAAAAAAACAAAAAGAAACCCTGTAACTGTCAGATCTCCAAATGGCCTAACTCGACTAGGTTTCGTTAAAAGTGGGGAAAAAAAAGTTTGTAATTGAGGTGAAACATAACACAGTTAACTATTTTAATGTGCACATCAGTGGCATTTAGTGCATACAAAATGTTGTATCACCCTCCCTAATTCCAAGACTTTTTCATGTCCCCAGAAAAAGACTCCGTACCCATCAAGTAACAACTGGAAAATTGAGATAATAGAACTGGGTTGAATACATTAAATACCTGCTTCCATGGGGGCTGAGGAAGCTTGGCCAGAGGTGGCTAACTGCTCCCAGGAAGGAGAGGAGCAGAGCTGGAGGCTTAAGGGGAGCCAGCCACTGCCCAGACAAGCTCAGAAAGAACACACAATTTTTATTTTCTAAAGCCCAGCCTTGATATTTACTAAAATGACATTTTTACTATCAGAGAAATTTATGTGTATTGTAGAAAATATGAGATGTGAGCAGGCACAAAGAGAAAACACACTGCCCCAGTCACCTCCATAACAGAGAACTGGGGCCAGCACTCATGTACACAGACAGCCTCCCGCCACCTGTTTTCTAGGTGAACACACACACACTCTGGAGCATGTCAAGGATTTGCACACATGGTGCCATAACCACCTTTCTTCACCTCACAGTTCGCTGCTGACTGTACCTCTGGTCCCTGGGCGCTCTGATCCCCCACACGTTCCTAACGGTGGCAATGTATTCGATGGTCTGGAAGTGCCAGTTTCTTTACCACTACCCACCACAGGGCATGAACTCCATGTCATTGTAAAGATGATGTCAACAGTATCATGTGTCAGTGGCAGCATTAAAAACCCACATAAACATCTTTATTAAAAACAAAGCTCCTCTAGTTGCTGCAGGAAAGCTGGGAGGTGGGGAGGGGCACCAGGGTCATGGGAGCTGTGATGAAGAGGAGGCAGCATCCACTCTGGAAGCCACAGGCAGAAGGAAGCAGTAGGGAAGGTCACTTGCTGTTATGTTGGGATTTCACAGCATTCTGAGGTCTGCATTTGTCCAGGACATGCCTGAGAGCAGGGATGGAAGGCATCCTCAGAACCAGCCCTGAACTGCTTGCTATCTGAACTGTTGAACTCTCAGATTCTCTTCTTGGCTATAAAAGCATCAGCATCAGTGTCTGTGTTATTTTTTTTTGAGCCAAGGACATCAGCTCTCAGAATAACAGTTTAACATACCTGGAACACAATGACCCCAGACTCTGCCTGGAGCTTGTTATATAGAAGAGAAAATATTGCCTTATCTCTGGATATCCCAGTCATGGGCACAGTTTATGGAGGCTAATAAAGCAGGGGGTATGAGAACCTCATGGCCAATCTAAGAGGTTGAGATTCAATTACAGGTCATTTACAAGCCAAAAACCAACTAGTTTGGGTGGGGGAGGCACACGGCTGGATGGTATGGGGATCTGAACTTGTGACCTTGCTGTTATAAGGCTACACTCTAACCAACTGAGATAACCTGCCAGTCGTCTTTCCACTACAGTGTAAGCTTTTGAGGGCAGGACCTGGTCTTTTTCACCTTTGGTTCCTTTTTTCCTCCCTTCCCAATATTCCATAACCTGTTTCTGGATTACATATCCTTTTCCATTAGACTGTTTTCTTCAACTAATACCACACAGTTTTAAGTACTATGTTGTTAAAAATGTTTTATTATATTATAAGGCTAGGCCACAAATTCTTCCTGAAAGAGGAAGGACCGAGTCTTAGAAAGTGGAGAGTTTTTATTTTCATAAAATGTTATCTGTTCTGAAAGAACAAATAATTTTAAAACCATCTAATAACCTAGGATTGGTCCCTGAAAGGGACATTGAGTAGATAGGACAGAAGTGTGTGTGTGTATGTGCTGAGAATATTAAAATATTGCTTTGTTTTTGTTGTCTTAGCCAAGAAAACTTTTCTTGGACAAAATAAATCTTTCTGGGGGCCTCTAGAACTGGTAGAAAAGCTTGTTCCAGAAGCTGCAGAGATAACAGCAAGTGTTAAAGATCTTCCGGGACTTAAGACACCAGTAGGCAGAGGAAGAGCCTGGCTTCGTTTGGCATTAATGCAAAAGAAACTTTCAGAATATATGAAAGCTTTGATCAATAAGAAGGAACTTCTCAGTGAATTCTATGAACCCAATGCCCTCATGATGGAAGAAGAAGGAGCCATAATTGCTGGTCTGTTGGTGGGTCTGAATGTCATTGATGCCAATTTCTGTATGAAAGGAGATTTGGACTCTCAGGTTGGAGTTATAGATTTTTCAATGTATCTGAAGGATGGGAACAGCAGTAAAGGTAGTGAAGGAGATGGCCAGATTACTGCAATTCTGGACCAGAAGAACTATGTAGAAGAACTCAACAGACATCTGAATGCGACTGTAAACAATCTTCAGGCAAAAGTAGATGCATTAGAAAAATCCAACACTAAACTGACAGAGGAGCTTGCAGTTGCAAACAACAGGATTATTACCTTGCAAGAAGAAATGGAACGAGTTAAAGAGGAAAGCTCCTACATATTGGAATCCAATCGGAAGGGTCCTAAGCAAGACAGAACTTCAGAAGGACAAGCACTAAGTGAAGCAAGAAAGCATTTAAAGGAGGAGACTCAATTACGATTGGATGTTGAAAAAGAACTGGAGATCCAGATCAGCATGAGACAGGAGATGGAGTTGGCTACGAAGATGCAAGAGAAGGATGTCTGTGAGAAGCAGGATGCTCTGGTGTCTCTGCGACAGCAGCTAGATGACCTCAGGGCTCTCAAGCATGAACTTGCCTTTAAGCTACAGAGTTCAGACTTAGGAGTAAAACAGAAAAGTGAACTAAACAGTCGTTTGGAAGAGAAGACTAATCAGATGGCTGCTACCATTAAACAACTTGAACAAAGATTGCGCCAGGCTGAGCGAGACCGCCAGTCTGCTGAGTTGGACAACCGGCTCTTCAAACAGGACTTCGGAGACAAGATCAACAGTCTGCAGCTGGAAGTGGAAGAGCTCACCAGGCAGCGGTGAAGAGAGGACATCTTGAGCTGACAGGGTGGTCATGGGTAATTCTAAGGCTAGACAGAAAGAGAAGGAGGGGTCTCATGATGTCCAGTCATCTCAACAATGTCTTTGCAATGTCCTTTCTCTGGAATTGGAACTCAGAAATTTTCACATACATCAATATTCCCAAAATTCCGTCAACATCCTTTGTGATCAAAGAATTAGGAAATTAGAGCCCAAGGTCCCAGATAAATAGTAATTAATAGCCAACACAACACTAATAATAATATTAGCCATTTCCTGAATTCTTACTGTATGCCAGATACTTTACAAAGTCCTTCACATGCAATCTCCTAATATCTTCACATCAACCCTATTAGTAGGGGATATTATTTCCCCCACTTTCAGATGAAATTAAAGCATAGAGGGGTTTAATGTGTCCAGATGCACACAGTGAAGCTAATAAGTGGCAAAATTATCATTTAAAAACCTGTTTAACTCTAAGCCCTTAACTATTCTTCTATATTATCACTCAAATGAGACTCATTTCTGTGCTGAAACCACTGACTTCAAATAGAACTTTGTTTGGACATAAAGCACATAGCTACTAAAGACACTAATGATTGATGGTGTAACTGGGGATTGAATACATAACTGTAAAGAAAGACCAGCTAATTAATATGAAGTGAAACTATATCTGATCTTTCATACTATATGTTGCCGAAAATTTATAAATACTGTCTTTTAGTTATAGCAAATCCTACTAATTGTCCCCAACTCTTCATTAAAAAAAAAAAGAAAGAATAATTAAAAAACTAATAAACCAATTTAAAAATGGGCAAGGATCTAAAGAGACATTTCTCCAAAGAAGATATATAAATGGCCAAAAAGCATATAAAAAGACACCTAACATCATTAGCCATCAGGAAAATGCAAATCAAAACCATAATGAGATACTACTTCACACCCACCAGGATGGATGGCTGTAATTAAAAAGACAGATAAAAGTGTAAGTAAGGACGAAACTGGAGAAATTGGAATGCTCATACACTGTGAGAAGGAATGCAAATGGTGCAGCCCTGGTGGAGAACAGTCTGGCAGTTCCTCAAATGGTTAAACATACATACCACATGACCTAGCAATTCCACTCCTACATAAATACCCAAGAGAAATAAAAACATATGTCCACATAAAAACTTGTGCACAGATATCCATAGCAACATTGTTTATAACAGCCAAAAAGTAGAAACAGCCCAAATGTCCATCAACTGATGATGGATAATTTAACTGTGGTATATCCAAACAAAGGACTATTATTTGGCAACAAAAAGGGTGCAAGGGCGGGCCTGTGGCTCACTTGGGAGAGTGTGGTGCTGATAACACCAAGGCCACAGGTTTGGATCCCTATATAGGGATAGCTGGTTAGATCACTTGGGAGAGTGTGGTGCTGACAACACCAAGCCAAGGGTTAAGATCCCCTTACCGGTTATCTTTAAAAAAAAAAAAAAAAAAAAAAAAAAGGAGTGCACTACTGACACATGCTACAACTTGGATGAACCTTGAAAATACTATGCTATGTGAAAGAAGCCAGACACAAAAAGTCACATATTGCATGAGCCTATTTATAAGAAATATGCAGAATAGCTTAAAAAAAAAAAAAGGTAGATTTGTGGTTGCCCTAACTCTAAACCTAAATATTTTATATTAAAAAATGGTATCAACTAAAGGGGTATGGCTAAGGAATGAGGGATTTATTTTGAAGTAATGAAAAATGTTCTCAAATTGACTGTGGTGATGGCTGCACAACTTTGTATACTAAAAGCCACTGAATAGTACACTTTAAATGGGAGAATAGCATGGTTTATGAATCTCAATGAAACTGTTTAAAAAAAACCCAAGAAAACAAAAAAAAGCTAACTAAGAAAAAGTGATTCCCAACTGAGGAACCACTCAATTTCCCTCCTAGAGAGATTTAGAAAGCCTGAGGGTGTCCTTAGATATTCCCAGTGTTAAGGATGGCCACTGGCATCTAATAGACAAGAGACAGGGACAATCCTACACTAATAACTCAAATGCACACATCAAAAGGCAGTCTGCAATGTAATCCCACCAAGAAACACTGTTCTGAAAACTACACATTCAATTTACAGACTGTGGGGTGCCTATTATGTGTAACAAACAGTGCTGGGGACAGAGAAGTGGGAGGACAAAGGCCTCTGTCTGAACCTGAACTCACTGAGATAGACATCTACACCACAAATTATAAAGCAAAAGTCAAATGATGGGGAATGCACAAATAAAAGGGGAACAATGATGCTGGTGAGCCACAGGGGTGGACCAGAGCAGACACCAACAGGCTACTCAGCCACCAGCCATTCTCCTTATTTCCTTGCTGGCAAAACCCAGTTTTACGTATACACTACTCTCTCATTGTGACCTCCTAGTCAGGGACTGTAAATCCTGACTAGACTAACCCTGTACTGCCCAATACAGTAGCCACCAGCCACATGAGGCTGTTGTATACTTGAACTGTGACTCTTCCGAATTGAGATGTGCTATAAAGTATAAAATATATCCACCTGGATTTCAGACTGCGTACAAAAAAAGAATGCAAAAGATTTCATTAGTAAGTACTGATACTGGGGCTGGCCCGGTGGCGCACTGCGCTAGTGCGCCGCTTGGGAAGCGTGGCGGCGCTCCCGTCGAGGGTTCGGATCCCACATACAGACCGGTTCCCACTCACTGGCTGAGCGAGGCGCGGGGGCAACACCGAGGGTTGCGATCCCGTTGCCGGTCCCGGTCCGGTGCGGGGGCGACACTGAGGGTTGCGAACCGTTGCCGGACACGGAAAAAAAAAAAAAAAAAAAAAAAAAGTAAGTACTGATACTGATTACATGTTGAATAATATTTTTTGATGTATTAAGTTAAATAAAATATTTATCAAAATGAATTCCACCTGTTAATTTGTTTTTTTGGTGGCTGGCCAGTATGGGGATCCCAACTCTTGTCTCTCTTTAATTTTTAATGTGACTACTAGAAAATTTAAAAGTACAGCTGCAGTTCACATTATATTCCTATTGGACAGCACTGCCTATTGTGTTACCCCCTGGACACCAAGCAGTGAAAGATGGGGAGGTAGACACATGTCCACAGGGCTCCTGGGATGAGTGTCTTTGTTCTTGGTCACACCAAACTACACATATAAAACTTCATGTTTAACTAAACAAACACACATAAAACTGGAGAGATCTGAATAAGATCAATGAAATCTCACTGTCAATTTTCTGGTTGTATCACTGTGCTTAGTTACAGAAGATGTTACGTTGGCATAAACAGGGTGAAGAGTGCTGGAGATCTGCGTATTTTTTCTTACAACTGCATGAGAATGTACAATTACCTGAAAATAAAAAGTTCGAAAACACAGACACACACACGAAGAAGAGAAGGTCCTCTTCCTCCCTTGGACACTGTTGGGTCTGCATGGGTCTCCTGCCCTGTAGCAGCTACCTGATTACTAGGTAGAGAGCTGGACAGAATGGATTGGAGAACAAGAGGACAGAGAAACAGGAGGAATCTAGATCCTTACTCATCTCATTGAGCTGCTGGATTTAAGCAACCCAGAGCATCCACCTCAAGACTTTGTCAGATGCTGTAAATTTCCTCTTTCTGAGCCAAGGTGAGTGGGGGGTCACTTCATTAGTGCACATGGTGACTGGAGGGAACACAGAGGAGGGTGTGATTAACCAAGACCAGGGGATGGGAGAGTCTCAGAGAAGACTCAGGAAGAGGACGAGGATGGGAGCCCTAAGTAGAAGGGACATACATGGCTTTTTGAGCAGCAAGTGGCGTGATAGTTCCTGAGAAGGACTATCCCCACTGAAAATGAATAAACAGATATTTAATTCAACAGTTAGTCAGTTTTGAGTGCCCACTCTCGGACCAGCTCAGAGTCAACTGGTAGAGGTCACTTATCTGCAGCCCATGGGACAAGAGGCAGAACCGCTCAAAAGAGGCTGGTCAACAAGCCAGGGTAGGGGAGACGATGATGAGGTGCTTCAAGGAAGTTGTGAGACGGAAAAGTCCACACACAGGCAACGGGAGTTCCAGTTTTTGAAACGGGACATTACCAGTGCACCTGATGTCCATCCCCAGAAATATTCTGAAGGGGCTCACCAGAACCGGGTGTGTGGGCAGTGAAAGGGGAGCAGTGAGCCCAGGAGCCAGCATGGGGCCAGTGAAACTGTGTAACAGAGAGACTCTGCTTCTCTTCCCAACAGTGACAGGGGAACACCAAGGCAGTACGTAGTCTCTCCGGAGAACTTTCACTTTATTTTAAGAAGTTATTAAGGCGGCCTTTGAGACACATGCCTCAGAGATTCAAAGATGACTCACGTCTGTGCTTCTGAAGTCCAAAGGGAAAGAAATCCAGGAACAGCCTGTAGCATTAACCACAACACTAGCTAAATGAAGTATTTAATCTGGGCCAGGCCCAGTGGCATTATCAACTTATTTAATTCTCCTGACCACTAAGAGAGACAGGCACTTACTATTAGCTCCATTTTACAAATGAGGAAACTAAGGCATACTTCTGACTGAGTAAGTTAGAGTTACTGTCACTGTTGGATTGTTTTCACCCACGCATATATTACTTTCTCAATAAAAAATAAAGCAATCACCACAGTTCAGGGCAAAGAACATAGGGCACAGGAGCAGCCCAGGTGAGAAAGGAACTCAAGCTAAGACAAATTCCCACCTCGAAGAAATAAGCACTCCAATCAGGAAGTTAGAAAAGAACAAACAGTAAACCTACACCAAGGAAAAAAGAAGATACCATAACATAAAAGCAGAAATTGCCATAAAAGGAAATATTAGCAAACCAGAACACAGAAGAATGAACTTAATACTTCATAATACATGGCACCAGTATGACCATCTTACCGAAATCTACTAGCACAACAAAGAAAACACAATCCAACCTCACTTTTGAATACAGATGCAAACACATTAAAGACTAGTCAATGTAATGCAAAGGAATATTTAAAAAATAGTCCCTCATGATGAAGAAAGAGTTTAATTCAGAAAGAAGAGTTTAATTAATAGTTAACATAGATATGGGGTGAGCTGTTGTAAAAACCAAAAACAAACAGTTAAAAGACCACTTTGAAAAACCATATAATGGGGCTGGCCCGTGGCTCACTCATGAGAGTGTGGTGCTGATAACACCAAGGCCACGGGTTCGGATCCCATATAGGGATGGCCAGTTAGCTCACTGGGTGAGCGTGGTGCTGACAACATCAAGTCAAGGGTTAAGATCCCCTTACCGGTCATCTTTAAAAAAAAACAACAACAACCATATAATGAAACTTCAACTGACAGCAATATGGCCTTTAATAAAATCCACTCATTTCTGATTAAAAAATAAAAACTTGGGGATTGACCAGCAAAATGGTGATGCAGGTAGCTCCAAACTCCCTTCCATACACAGGAACAGAAAAATAACTGCAGGAAAGGTCAGAATCAACTTTGTCACAACTCTGGAAAAGAATCAAAGGTTTATAGCAACCAAATGAAGACAGAATAACAAGACAGGCCAGTAAAAAACAGTATGAAAGCTTTGTGGGGATTTCACTTGCCCTTACCCCACCCCCTCTCTACCTGGGCAGCAGGCAACCTTGAAGACAGAGCCTCCATTCCCACTATGAGACCCTGGTCCCTGGTTCCAGAGGGATCAGGGTCTCATACTGGGAGAGCAG